TCTAGCATGCATTCAATTAGAGATCAAGTAACTGAATGTAGAAACACTCTCAACTTCAAAACATAGAACAGAACCAGTGTCTTACAAATGACTACAACATAGGTTGAGGAGATTAACCCCTGGAAGCTATATAGCTACTCATACTGGTTGATGCTACTACTACTACTACAACAGACATCATAGAAGTATGCATCAATGAAATGAAATACAAGCTAACAGTTAAGAGGAGAAGACAGCTTATACAGTTCAAGGTCACTCCTGGGAGTGACAGAGTTCACTCAGGAGAATGAGGCAATGAATGAGATGGCTGTTCTTCAACTTTGCTTCCTATTAAGTTGTTGTTGTTCTCCTTTCTTCTTGCCTTCTGTCTGGAGTTTTTCTATATGTTCTTGGCAACTGAAAGGTGCAGCCAGAGATGTGTAATGATGTGAATGCATCTCCCCTTTTATATTGCTTGATGCCGGTTCCTCTTTCAAGAGAGCCTCTCCATGCTTATGTATTCTTTATTCACCCAATGCCTTGTGTCTTGAACTTAGAATTGACTGGTCTTTTGCTCTCCTTCCAGAAGTGCTATTAGCCATGGCATTGATCAGCTTGGGAGGTTGGTTTCTCGGCCAAGGAGACAAGCAGGCCCTTGGGTTCTTAAGGTGAGACACACTCATTAAGTGTGTCTTGAAGATGTCTTTGACCAGCTCAGCAGAATATGAATCCATCAACCCATTTTTGTCCCAACAGCCCTCCTTTTTCAGCATTTCTTCACTCAGATCCCTTCCTATGCAAAAACATAAAACTAGTTAAGTAACATGGACTTATTCTAAGAATCGACCCTAATTTTTCACTAAATTCAGAGTAAATGGTAATGCTTTTGTGTACCAAATTAACCACAATCATTAGGGCAACATTCAGGTTCCAACTGTCACAAAAATACTCAATGAATATACCCAAGAGATATGTTTTGAGATAGTCAGTGCTAGACAGTACAATGCACCCAAGGGATGGACATATATACCACCAAGTTCCCTAGTTTGACCCCTTCCCTTTTTATTATTTTCATAAAAAAAAATAAGTGGCAGTGTATAGTCTAACCACTATTATATCAAGCCATGTGACTTCTAACATTACAAGATGATAAATAAATGCCTAGCTATTAGTGTCCCTAAGTGCTATTTTGGTCGCTTTACGTGCATGTAGGGAGTAGATTGTTGATCCAAGAGTAATAAACCTCGAGTTTAAGTCGGAAGCCTAGTGAGTTGAGTGTATTCATGGGAGTCTCCTGATGATGCCATTTTCGCAAGAGAGTCTGCAATTGCATTTACTTCCCGATAGACATACGAAGTAGAGTATGCATTTCGGGCCAAAATTCCCTTTATTCCAAGCATCGTTGACTTTAATCTCCATGGAATCGGGGATGAGGTGTGTAAGATATTGATCAAACATTTGTTGTCGGATCTCACATGGACATGTTGGAGTTGAAGTTCCTCGCATTTCTGTAGTCCAAGAGCCGTTGCCTTTGTTTCGGCTTCGAAAATTGACTTTATGCCTAAATATTTACATCCAGAAGCAATGAGTGAACTGTCATGATTTCTAATGACATAACCAAGTCCAGCTTCTCCCGGGAATCCTAGGGCCGATCCATCAATGTTGAGTGCATAGACACCATTCGGCGGAGCAATCCATTTTACCACCTTAACTTTAATGCTTTTAGGAGCCGCCACCTTTACTTGGAAAAGATGCTGTAAATCTTCTTGTTTGCTGGTTGTGTTGAATTTTAGCATGTGCACCTGAAGAACATTGGAAATATGGTCTTTTATGAGGCGTTGCGTTGTGTGGAAATGAAAGTAATGTCCGTCATGTAAGAATTTATTTCTCGCCTTTCAGAGTTCCCAGCAAATGAAAGATGGGAGAATGAGGATGATTGAGGACAATGCTGAAGAGAAATTGCCTGACCGATACCAAGTTTGTAGAAATTAGTGCAAGCCGGCGATTCGGGGATATATATATATATATATATATATATATATATATATATATATTCTCTATCTTATCTTCAAATTCAAATGATTCATTCTTGAGATTTAGGAAACTACTACTTTAAGTTTTTTTTTTTTTGGTGACTTCCTACCAATATTATACGTGTCTGGAAAGATTTTTTCAATTGAGTCAGAATGCTCAATTTTTGACCTGAAATTGTTCTCTCTTAATGTATAAAGATTTTAAACTTTTATCCCGGTAAGTCTGAACATGATAGAAAAGGATGAATATTCACATTAGAGATTGCCAAGTAATTATCTAGGTCTATCATTACATTTCATGGAAAAGAAATCAGTCTTCTTTGAAGCAATTGCTGAGAGAATAAAGTAGAAGCTGAGCTCATGGAAGACAAAATCACTCTCAATGATGGAAAGAGTGGCGCTAACAAAGCACTCCCTTGCTACACTTTCAGTTTACATGATGAGAGCTTTCAAACTACCTCAGAGAATAACTAAGCAGATTGACCCTGTGACAGACTGGTAGCGAGTTTTATTTGGAACTCAGATAACGAGAGTCGTGGAACATATTGGAAGGCGTGAGATCATGTTTGCAAGTCCAAATCTAACCTAAAGAGATGAATTAAGCTCTCCTTGCAAAATTGGTTTGAAGACTTCATATGAAAAGAGACTCTCTCTTTGCAAGGGTTTTCATAGCTAAATACTCAAAAAGGAAAATAATTTTTGGATTGTCCAATGGACAAACCTCCTTCATGGGGATGCAGAGTATTCTTTGGGGATGCGAATTATTAAAAAAGGGGTACTCAAGTGGAAAGTTACCAATAAAAAAAGATAAGAATTCCAGAAGATTGGATACTTAGACCTGTTAAACAACGCGTTGCAAGTGATTGAAGCTTTAATGCGACGGGATTGAGCAAGAGCGGCTCAACATTTTTTGGGACCAAAGGCGAGTTTTAAAATTGAAGCCTTTTGATAACGAAACAAAAAAAAGGTTAAAAATTAACCCTCCCCCTCCCTCCCCTCATTGTTTTGGACATAGGACTAACAATTATAAACTCATGAGTCTATAGCAAGCGGAGTTAAAAAAAAATTTCATATATTATTCATATTAAGTTTATCTTTCTAACATTTTTAGAGTATTGTTTATATTAAATTTATTTTCTTGTTTTTTGGTGGTAAATTTTTATAATATTTTCATGATCTATCTCTTTCACAAAATTTCTTTTTTTATTTATTGATATAATAGCCACTCCATTTCATCTCTTGTGAAATTGTCGATCTTAAATAATTTTTTACTAAATTAAATTTTGCAAAAAAAAAAAATCTAGTGAATCAACTGTTATGGGAATAGTTAACATTATCTTACAGGCAATACAAGAATTTAGAAAAGAATTAATTCTTTTAAAATATTTAAGTGGTTCAATTGGATAATTATTCTCAACATTTACATTTTCTCTTTTCTTTCTTTTTTTTTTAAGTTTACATTTTCTGTTAAAATTTTTACTTCGTTCAAAAAATCTAAATCGACAATATCTAAACTATCATTGTATTTAAGGAATTTTGAAGGTTAAAACAACTTGTTTTCTAAATTGTCATCATCATGTAATTTTACTTTTTTCAAACTAAATAGAAAAAGCAAAAACATTTTCGTACATTTTAAAATTTTCAAACCTACTTTGTAGAGATGAGTATCTCTATCAACTATGTAAAGAAAATAATCAATTTTTAAAACTCTTAAAGGATTTTAATAGTTTCATTCACCACATTTTCATTTTGCTGATTTCTATGAATTTTTACGTTTTTTCATCAATATTTATTAGCATTAAGTTTTGTTAATATATATATATATATATATATATATATATATATATATATATCAAGGGCTCCAGACAATGGCCTATTTTGCCTAATAGGAGAGTTACTTCTGGGATTGAATATTGGACCATTATATAGATGTGGAGACTTGCCGGAAGATATACAACATAGTTTTCTTAACTTTATTCATTCTAAAACTGTCAGGTGCAGTTCAATTATGGGATTTTAACTTTAAAAGCTTGCAACGAGCTTCACTTTGCAATGGCTTTATTAAAATTGGTTACTTTTTTCTTTTTTTTTTGGTTAACAAAATTGGTTACTTTCAGCTCCAAATGAACAAGTTGTTCAACGTTCATGTTTCCTTCTGTTGGTACATATGGCCCGCAATAAAGCAATCTGGGATAACCAGATCCAGCACTTCAATTTAATTGAAGATCCTAATAGATTAGCAAACCCAAATTTAAAAGAGATCATTAGCCGGTAAAAATCAGTTGTACTTCAATTTAGTTATCAACATACTGTAAATGGTGTTTCAAAATAAAAAATGGATTCTTTTGGAAAAAAAAAATACATGTAATTCTTGTTTTATAGTTGGTTGGTTCTACAAGATGACCCGTAAATACCAAAAACAATAGTTCTTCTTCTTTATCACTGAGCTAAAATCAACGACATTTGCAAATATATGTTGTGAAAAGAACGGTTTTATGGACGGAAAGATAAATTTACTAAACTGTGTTCTTTAAAAATTTAAAATGCGAAACGAATCAAACGATTTCTTTTTCCCTTTGCCGCACCATTATACTTTCCCTATAATTATGAATATGTTTAACATTCTCTCAATTCCACTATCTTAATGCCATCATGTTGAGAAAATCAGATTGCAATGAAGTGGGTTTTTTTTTCTTTGGGGGTAGGAGCGCAAAAACTCAATATTGTGAATTACAAAATCTTTTAGCTACCCGCGGCTAATCATCGCTAACTAACTCAGAATATTAATAAGGCTACATTTTCCTCAAATAGCGGTGACAATACAACGGTTAAAAAATACTCCTTCTGTCCCAAAATTATTGTCCAGTCTGAGAATTCACTTTTAGTACAATTTAAACTAAAAATGAAAACTCAAACTGGACAATAATTACGGGACGGAAGGAGTACCAAATTGATGATATGCTACCAAATAAATCAAGGGATGGCCTCTTAGGACTGATGAAGTATGAGAAGCCTTGTCCAAACAATAAAACTGATCACGAAACCTGCAAAATCACAGCTAAATTTAGTGAAGTTTAATAAAATCAAAGGGTACACAATTGTTGAGGGGGGAAAAAGGTATACACAAATATTTTTTTTTTATAATGCCAATGTTGATAACTCTATCAAAAATAGGTAACAACATTTTAAGTTGATACTTGCGAAAATTAGATAGAGAATGACGAGAAATCGACATTAAAATTCATTCTTCCACTTCCCTTTCTGATGACATTTAGAGGATAAATAAATCACGCAGGTAGTAACTAAACTTGGTAATAGGTTTCCTAAACTTTTACAGTCCCTCTTGAAAAAATAAAGATCAAATTATTTGTTAAACTTCATTATAATTGTCCAATTTAGGAAAATCTTATTTAGAAGTCGAAATTCGGACCGTTAATTTTTTTTTGAGTCAGGCAGAGAAAAATAATTGAAATTGAATGAACATGTTTTTAAAGACGATAAATTAGAAAAAAAATCACAAAGCTGTACGGCTTTTTTTAAAAAACAAAATTAATGATGGTTAAAACGAAAAATATTACTCCCTTCGTCCCATAATTATTGTCCACTTTACCCAAAAAATTTTGTCCCAAAATTATTGTCAAATTTGACTTTTTATGGATCAAGTTACACATTTGTCCTTAGTAAAAAAACATTATACATAAAATCTTAGTGGTTAAACAATTACTTATGTATGAGTATATCCGGTTGTTTAAGGTAAAATATAGTTAAGTTTGACCAAAAATAAAATCTTTCATTTTAGTAAAACTGGACAATAATTATGGGACGGAGGGAGTACTTTCTTGATCGCATGGAATATATATAACAGCAAGGCAACAAAATAAAGCAGTTAACTTAATAAGTAGGATTTCGGTTTCCCGAACCTACCTGTTAATGCACTCATTGAAGACCACCTCATTTTGTTGGATGTAGAAGGAACTGCAATAAGAACACAATGAACCAATTAATTAATTGAATATTATTTGATGATTAAATGATGAAGAAGGCAATATGAATGAATTGATTCTAACTTATGAATTTGAAGTTTTGGGGATAACAATATTAGAAAACATTACTGTTGAGACATTGATGTTCTGAGTCCCAAGATGAAATTTTTTAAAAGAGACTTAACGTCTGAATGTAGTTAGGGGTTGAAACTAATGTGAAGAGAAATGAGGTATACTATTACTATGAGAGTTTATCAATAAGTAAGATATTAGATGGGAAAAAAAAACGTTTAATAAGAGTATCGGTAAGAAGATATTGAATTTCAAATGAAAATCCAAACAACAGTTGGTATTCATCACAAGATAAGTATTACCAAAAGAAAATAACTTGAAATGAAACTAACGAATAAATGATCGTCATATCAATTACTAGACAAATTTACTGCAAATATCTAGAATCGTAACAAGAAGAGAATAGAAATTGTTACCTGAATCGCAATTTGTTGTGGAATTCCAATTCCCACACATGCACAAATCACTATCAGAATCAGTATTGAATCCACAACTTCCACCAGTGGCCTCACATGATTTACAGAAAGATTCATTCCCTTGTAATGAATACTTAACTCTTATACCATAAGACCATTCATCAGGCCCTGAAACCCTCAAAGGAGCAAGACTATAAGCACTGCTATAACCCTGGCAACCAAGTTTACTCAGATTCACAGCCTTCAATGTCTCAAATGCCACTGAACAACACTCGGGACGACCCGATCCATACCCGGATCCCCTCCCGGTCGAAGACCCGACAAAGCTCCAAGCAGGGCAACCATAATACTCATCACATCCCATCCCTGAAACATTCCCACAGGGCAAATGCTTCCCTGGAAAACCTTGAAACAGGGGAGATTCAGGGGAGCACTGTATCAGCATGAACACATTGTCTGTGGTCGGGTTCAGGAACGGGGCGCGCCATTCCTCGATCACAAACCCGTTTCCTCGGCCTCCCAACACGATTGAGTCGCAGGTTGACATGTGCGGATCATGTAATGTGAGTGATTGGTAGGCGTAGTCGATGTCCAAAACGCGGTATGAACCCGAGCTGATGTGGAACATCAGGACATTGTTTATGCAAAATAAGAGGTCCCGGAAGCCTGGATGTCCACAACCTGATTGGATTGCAAAAGGGTAGTCGATTGTTAAGTTTCCACAATAGGATCTGCATGTTGGAGGATGCTCAGTACCATAACTTAGTGGAAAAAAGGTCTGAAAACAGAGGAAGAAGATGAACAAGACAAAGGGATTAGTCATGTTTGAGTATGACAGGGTTAATTCTTGAAGAGCAAAATCAGAGCAGATTGTATAGTACAAGTTTCTTTTCTTTTTAATGCATTTTTAAAAGGGGAAAGATGTGTGTAGGAAGAACTTATTCTTTGCTTATGTGAAGAGGAATTTCAGTGAAATGTTTATAATAATTTCAATTTGGGATGGCATGATTTCGGGAAATAAGCGCTTTATTCAGCTTCACATGTGGTGCTGAAGAATCTGGTTCAATAGTTTACAGATTTTCCACTTGCTTTTTGAGGAGAACAGTCTGATGAGTCTCTTTGCTTTTTAAGAGATTTGGGCTTGACTTTTGAGCTTTAAGTATTGATTGATTGCTTTAGTTTGCTTTTTGAGGGGTTAAACTGTTGAGGGATAATGATTTTTTCTGTTTTGCTTTATGGTCAAAAGAGGGAAAAAAAAAAAAAAGAAAAGAAAAGCACAATATGAAAACATAATAGAGTATTTTTACTCCTGCTGGACCAAGACACCATTCATTCATTATACTGATGATGACGAAATAGAATCCTAAACAACAGTACTTGATTCATTTGAAAAAAAAAAAAGGCCTTCAGGAGATGGGACATGCATTTCTATTAAGAAAACTCGATTCATTGATACAACCTGAATAATTCTTGCACGATTATCATTTGTATTGTATGAGAGATTCAAAAGTTTCATGTGAAAATTTTATAGTAACATTCAAAAGGACAGATGTTTGAACCATATAGGGCCATTAAAAGTCTTTGCATTTATAACTTGATGGCTCCGCCTCCCTCACAGTTCCCACGTCTGGTATTGATCATAACTTAAAGGAAAGGTGATTGGCCTACTCAGAATGGCATTAGGCAAGACCTGGCCTTTTGCACATCACTTCCAAATAAGCATTCTGAATCTGATGCCATTTGATATTTACTTCTTCTTTTCTCTCATTTTCGTACCTGTCTTTTCCAGTACACTTTCTCTCTTCGCCGTATTCTCATTCCTGCGAAATGGCAAAACTGAAGAAGGGAGCACAGGTTCTTACTGAATGGTAAACTGGAGGGATCTGCTTTTGATCTCTTTGTCCCATCTTGAGTAGGAACCATGCCAGTAGTCCGTGTTATTGTGAATTTTCAGACCATCATTGAATTTTCAGACGATCACCCAAGTTGCTGCGTATTTGTATCCCAAGAAGCAAGACAGCCTGCTTTCTGACTAGACATGTCCACGTCATTTGCAAAGAACTTGAGGGATTTATCTGCTAAAACCTAGGTATGTGTAAATAATTCTTTTTTTCCTTTGCTTTCTGACTAGGCATGTCCACGTCTTACTCTTACTGCAAAGAACTTGAGGTATTTATCTGCTAAAAACTAATGTGTAGATAATTCTTTTTTTACTTTTATTCGTTACTTCAAATTATTAGGACACCAGAATCTAGCCTTCATGTGATTGCATCCCAAATTATTCAATCAACATTTAGCAATGAAAAGCAAATGACAATAATACAACTCGCACCAGTTGAACTCAACTGATGGATAATCAGTCGAGAAACACTTTCAAATTCTCGCATCAAGAAACAACTAAGCAGAGCTTTTAAATTGTCCGGAAACGACAGATTGTAATTCCTCCTGCATCCAAAAAACACAGCAGAAAGAGGACAGTACTTGTCATACTCTTAAGCCTTCAACAAATTGCATCTTCAAGTGCCACCTTCTTTGAGTATGCTAATCACTACTGGGCATCCCTTGATGATTAAGCAATTGTTAATGATTCTTCTTTCACCTTCTGAAAAAGAGGTAAAACAAAAACTATGTTCAGCTGATGGCTATTTGGGATCTAAGTACGCATACAAGGTTCTGTTGTGTCTTACATTGGAGATTTGTTTCCATAAGTCGAGTGTCTGTAATGCTCTCCCAGAATACAATGTTTCTCGAGCCAAAGCTACACCCTCGGCCAGATTTTTCACATGCCCGTTAACCAAGATAGCCGCTGCCGCATTTAACACCTTCAATTCCACGAGAACAACTACATAAACGATGAGAACTGAAACTTGCTAAAGTTTATCGACAATGTCTTTCCTGGACACTACCAGAATAGTTGTTAAAGTTCAGGATGAGATTATATTACTATATCATTTAAAAGAGATGAAAGTACTTACAAGTGCATCGGCAATGGCCCCTTTCTCTCCTGATAATACACGCCTCAGCACTTCAGCATTGTATTCTGGTCCTCCACCTCGCAGGTCAGCCAAAGAGCACCTGGGAATACCAAAGTCCACTGACAAACAATTGATTTTGTTAGATTTTGCTATCTTTATCTCAATATAGTACTTGAAGATTCAGGTGAGAGAATTTAGAAATGAAGGAATCTGTAACATCATCCAAGAAAATGACAAGAAGCTATAGTAGAGGAACACGCACAAGGATCGAAAGAGAACTCTTCAATCTTATCGGCAGTAACATCTAGAACAAACCCAGGCCCTGTTACATCAGTGAGGAAGCACACCTAGTATCAGTGATATGTTCTAAAATTTAATAGATCTAAAGTCATCAGGAAAATTGTTAAAATCAATGAAGGTAGCTGTACCCAGGGGACTCATCTCGTCCAGGCCTTTGGAGTGAACAACTAATGATCTTTTCATTCCTAGCCCTTGAAGTGCTTTTGCCATTGTAGGTACCTATAAAGAGATAATTACGTGTTCCCATTTTTCTTTATACAGCCGAAATAGCTCTTTAAGTTCAGAAAAATACTACTTATTTCATTTGCAATGACAGAGTCGAAGTACTTACCAGCTCTTCTTTGTACACACCTACAACAGCAAAAGGTACTCTTGCTGGATTAAGCATGGGGCCTAATATGTTAAACACCGTCTTAACCCCTAGTTTCTTCCTAACTGGCCTTACGATCTTCATTGCAGGATGGTAGATTGGGGACATCATGAAACCAATCCCAGCTTCTGCTACGCACCTTCTTACTCCCTAACCCAAAGTTTAAGTCTCAGTTGATACAATAGACAAAAGAAACCAGCCAATCAAACAGCATGATTATAATGTCAATGGTACATACGTTATTCAGAATTAGCCTTAAACACTAACATGTATTTAAGATTAGGCACTCATTAGTCGTGAACATCTTCAATATGATCCAGAAATTTTATTATACAAGGTACACTGAAAATATTTATTTTAGACATCTTTGTCAACATAGGGGAAAACATGAAAGGAGCAAACAACACATGGGAAAACACACTTTAAAAGTGATTTCGTCGGCTGTAAAACAATTTCTAGTGGAGCTGCAATTGGTTGTTTTCTGTCCTGAAGAAACTTGAGAGTTGCAGGGCAACAGATAACAAGTCTCCTTAATGTATTTTCCCCCAAAATGCAGTAAATAACAATCAGTTGCACATTTTTATTTGATTGAGAATACATCTTGCAAGGATGAAAAATAAAGGAGCAACCTTGGACGTAATAGATACAGAAGCAAATACAGTTTCTCAAACCAATACAGAAGCAAGTCAACCTCAAACCATGGACATTATTGATAATATGATGGATCAATGTTACGTCTAGAAGTTAATGTAAAGCAATACAATAGATATTTATCAAACACGTGCTACAATACATACCTCAGGATTCAATTCAATTGCAATGCCCAATTCTTCAAGGACATCTGCACTTCCACAAGCAGAAGAGCTTGACCTATTTCCTTGCTGCAATATCAATTTCAATGATCTAATCACCAATTCAAATCTACATTTATCAGAATGTACTTAAAGGGGTAAAGGAGTTTAAAAGAAATGATCTCACCTTTGCAACCTTCACACCACAAGCCGCAGCAAGAATAGAAGCCCCAGTTGAGATATTCACAGTGTTTGCACCATCACCACCAGTCCCCACTATATCAACTGCATCATCTAATCCTTCCACTTTCTTGCAATGTTTTAACATTGCCTTAGCCAATCCTACAATCTACTTAACCATAAAACCATTGAACAATTAAAATATACTTCAACCAAAGAAGAGGGGAACAAATTTAACACCAGCAGAAGATTCTGACATTCCCTTCGATACAAGCAAAAATTCAAGGATTGCTAGGAAGTTCTCATAAACCAAACAGAAGATCACTTAAAAACAAAAAGAGTAATATTATTAGCACTTAATGGTTGTTTAGGAGCAGCACAAGAGCTTCAAACTATGTATGGCCTGGACATATGTTTAAGCACAGTGAGATCAGTCATCCGGAATAAGAAACAATAAAATTCATGCATATTATTTCAGAATCTTTTCATATTAATATTTTCCAAAACATAGATATAATTAGTCTCAGAACAAAGACAAGAATCAAATTAGCATCGAACACCAGAATTCTCCTTTTCAATCAGCACAATTTTTAAGTAAAAAACAGTTCATCCCAAGTACAGAGATCCAATTTATGTATTAAATACGATAACAACAAAGTTGAGACAGCACAATTGTATTGGTATGGTAAACTATGAGTTACGAAAGGCAGAGATGACTCTGGTGGCATGATTAAATGCAATCAGTTGCCTACTTTCCGATAGAAGGCATCACAACTAGAATGTAAATGGATAAAACACCACTGTTCAAACAACTGCAATTCAAACTTTAAACAAATCAAACAGTGTACGTACAGTCTACAAAGCGTCATGATACATGTGAAGACAACACTGAGCTAGAAATTGGAACAAATAGCTAGTGTCTTTGATCACATCAGAATAGCATTTCATATTAGCTCTAAACTGAGAAGAAGAAACATGAAATGTGAGGATTGATATCCTAAGAGTTGCAACAAGACAGTATTACTGTCTTCAAATATTTATTGAAGTCTATCAAACAATAAAATGTAAGCAATTAAATAGAAGTTCAAGCTTTCAAAGCTTTATAGTCCATAGACATGAATGTAAATGAACATTGAGCACAACTATTTAAGCACAAATAAGCATTACATATAACAGCCAAAAAGGCCACGGGAGAGGGAAACTGGTATCATAGCTGAAAAAGACCAGAACGAAGGAAGAGAATTTAAAGCTCCAGTTTAAAGTTTAAAGGACTGCAAAAAACTAGCTGTCATTTGTTCAATTAACATAAAAAGATGAAAACTACATTAAGAACAAAAATGTTATTGAACTATCTTCACATTCGAAAGTTCTAAACATCTTTAAGCCGGATTATAGCAATCAATAAAGGAATAAGAACTGTAGCCTGTGACACTTGTTATAATGGCATTTTTTTTGCATGGACAGCTAATCCTTTAATGAGCATAATTCAAATATTTGAGACAAACAACCCTTATCATGACTTGCATTCAATGAAACTGATTTTAAGTTCTTCCGCTCAGGAAATACTACATGTCTTCTGACTATCTAAGTTCAAGATCTTTGTCAGACTTTCCCCTACAAATAACAAAAGGGTAATCGCAATTATGTTTTCAAAATTCTACAGGTTCCTCTTAAATCATATTTTCGGTCATAAACAGTTACTTTTCAACCACATTACTTTCCAAACAGTTACTTTACGAACATAAGATCGTTGAGGTACCCAAACAAGGGATACCGGTTCAAAAATTTATCCCACATTCTATATCTTTTCTCTCACATTGAAGCTAAAAGTTCTTTTCCCTGATTGCTTTATGATATAGTGGCAACAACTTCAGGCATCAACATTGTCCCATGAGGCAAATGGACTTGAAACATAGCTTCCCTTGTTTACAATACGGTGGTGGCTAACAAAATAATGCTACAATAATTGGTAGAGTATGAGTTTACGTCACTTGAAGTCTAGGAAAAATATTCTCAGAAATATTCGCAATCTATAAGCATTAGCATTACCAAATGAACACCTATGACTTACTTCTTCATAACTTTCGCCCTTGGCTCTCAGTAAAACAAGAAATGCACTGATCAAAGACTCATCAGCGCCACCCAATAAGAAGTCTAGAGATTCTTCAGCTTCAGCCGCTGTCAAGTCCTTCCCACTAATCAAAGTCTCAATCAACTGCATTGACCAATACCAAAACAGAACAAGAATGAAATTAAACCCAAATTTTTATCCATGATTAGGTAGTGTTAGGAGTCTAAAACAGGTTTTCACCCCAGAACAGCAAAAAATAAAAATAAAAATTTACCTGACCAAATGACGACCCTGATGAATTCCCATTTGAATTGGCCAAAGCAGAGGCGGCAATCCTGGGTCTCCTTTGACTTAGTTTCAGACATGGGTTTTGGGAAAAGATGAAATTTTGACATTGGGATTTTGCCGAATGATTCTGGGAACATGTTGATAAATTTGGCGAGGCACAAGACAGATTGCAGTGATGTAAAAGGGCCATTCTTGCCTAAAAAGGAGTTGGTAGTCTCTACCTGGGGACAGTTATTGTGGCAGAGAAGATTTGATCATTTAATAAACAGGCAAAAAGGATAAAAAGATTTACTGTGAAGACTTTAACGAATTTGATGGTATGGGCACTATGGCTATGGCCTACTGCAATTTGCAAATTGTGTATAAACCCCGCTTGAATTGACCTTAATTTTAATTTAAATTATCGATGAAGAAAACTAGCAGCAACAATGGAAAAATAAAAATGAATCAGACACAAGAATTATACGGTTTACTAAGTTTTGACTTACGTAAGGTAAGAAAAGAAATAACTTGCAAAATTGATTCAGTACATAGCTTTATCCCGGAAAATGATACTCTTAGTGAAATAATATAGTGAGAAAATATAGTGATTGATGTGTATCCCTATTTTGTTGTTACTTTGCCGTTGAAATTTTTTCTTTCTTCCAAAATTACATTTTTATCCTTAATTACTATTGACACATCAGTCTCTATGTATTTTCACTATTTTTTCTCACTATTTTCACTATTTTTTCTCACTATGTGTATCATTGCTCCTTTATGCCTACCCCTTGTATTTATAGATTAATGTTAGGTTAATCCCAGATGTAATAGAAACCAAACCTAATGCCTACTAGAATTGGAGACCTTTCCAAAAAATTAAAAAAAAAATAAAAATTAGAGTTGGAGAATTCTTATATCTAAATAGATTTAGGAAACTTGTCTAAGACAATTTTCAACAAAAATTCAAGGCATAAACAATTTCCATCTTGACTTGAATTCTCTCAAATTTAGGGCTGTCAGTTCGGTCGGTTTGGGCGGTTTGACCGATATTCAGTTCGATTTTTTCCCATCACAGCAACCGCTCGAAACCGAACCGCGAAATTAGTTCTACCGAACCGAGTCGAGCCAAATAAGTAATCGGTTTTTCAGTTCGGTGCCCGGTTGAACCGATTTCAAAATAAGTACTATTTAAACCAAAAAAAAAAAGAAAAAATGAAAAAAAATTCCAGAATAAATAACACAACTATACAAGGCCATTTTACCATTTCAATACTTCAATTCAACAACTTGCTGAAAATATCAAAATACTGAATCTGTGAAACATTTTACATTTAAGTTCAAGTTCGTGTGTTCAACACTTCAACAACACAAAATCACAAATGACATTCAAGGTTCAAACTTGAAATTTCAAGCTTTAAAGTCTAAAATCCAAACTACAAATTTAAAGTCTAAAATCATAAGATTCAGAACAGAAATTTCAAACAAATTAAAGTTTCATTTCAGAAACAGAAATGAGAACATAATGAAATAGGCAACTTCAATATGCAACTTCAGTCTTCAACTTCAGTCTTCATTCTTCAAGTGATCAAGAGTTCAAGTGTTCAACTAGCAGCAATCTGGAACAACTGAACCACCAAGGATGCAAATTCAGAAATACAAGACATTTTCAACATCTTGACTGAAAATTTTCAGGTTATAACAGTCATGAAAAACCAAGTAAAACTTACAAGAATGGTAATTCAGTCAAGAAAAACTCTAGCTCATCCCAATTTTTTCTTTCCCTTTTCAGCAGCTGAAAAAAAAACAAGAAGAAAGAAATAGTCAACGATCAATAAAGAACTGAAAATGTCAACAATAAAAATCACAAATAAATTTAAAATCAACCTTCTCCTATTCGTACGAGATCTTCCCAATTTTCTTCAACGTCTTGCTCTTCATCTTCAACCAGCACCCGAAGCTAATCTTGTGCGCAGATCAGGCACTGAACAGTCTTCGGAGTTAAAGAACTTCGAAATGCATCCAAAACCCTCCCACTGGTACTAAAACAGATTTAGAAGTAATAGTAGATATATGTATGGCAAAAATGTCACGAACCATCAGAGAAAGGAATGGAAATCGGGGGTTGTTTACCTTCCACCAGTTCAGGAGGTCAAATGTTGAGTTACATGGTTCATCATCCTCCAAATATTTGTCCAACTCTGATTTTTTATCATTTCTGCCACCTACTGTTTCATTTTTCTTTTTTAATAACTCCATTCTAAATCTATCTCTAAGGATCTTCGAAGGCTCGATATCAATCAGGGAAGGCCTTTTCCCCGATGAAGTGGTTTGAGAATAAGTAGAATCGGGATTGGAGGAAGGCAAACTAGGAGGGGAGCATGGATTCTCACATAATCTGCAAATAACTCATACATGGCACTTTGAATCAATTCATATTTTTGTTATCCATCGACTTTTCCATACACATCAGAAAGTACAACTTCCAAATAAGTCAATTTATATCTTGGATCGAAAACACATGCCATACAAAGAATTAGGTTCATCTTCTCAATATCACCATAGTACTTATGAAACTTCAGTTTCATCATTTCAGCCATAGCTTTTTGTTCAAAATCTTGACTTTCATTAATGATTTTTTTTAGCAACACATCAATGCAAGTTATATCAGTAAAACAAGAATTAGAAGACATAGATTTTGTACGAGATACCTTCAAGTTTATCTCGTAAAAATGCTGAAGCAGACTAGCCACCCTTCTTGATTCAATCCAATCCAATGAAATAGGCAGCCCGGGTCCTGAATTTGGCACCTCAGGATCGTATCTACGAGTGTCTCTAAAGTGCTGATTAGTAGACTCATATCTCCTAAAGGCTCTTTCATAGACTTGAGCAGTTTCCAACATCAAATATGTGCTATTCCATCGTGTACAAACATCTAAGACTAAATTCTTAGAGCTATCACACTTCTCCATTTCAGCACATTTTCTAAAACTTGCAAGTCTTTTAGGAGACTGCCTAACATATTTAACTGCTGCCCTGATCCTTTCTACAGACTTTCCTATATAGTCCAAACCATCTTTAACTACCAGATTCATAACATGAGCCACACAACGCACATGCAACCATTTAGCACCCAAAAGACATTATTCTTGATGAGCAAACTGTTCTTTCAAATAATCCATCACAGAGTTATTAGAACTAGTATTGTCAACAGTAATTGTTAACTCATATTCAATTTCCCAATCTAACAAACAATCTTCAATTGCAGTTCCAATATCAATACCCTTATGACTTGAAATATAACAAAAACTTAAGATTCTCTTTTTCATATTCCAATTACTATCCACATAATGACCACTAAGACACATGTAATTTACTTGCTGCAAAGAAGTCCAACTATCCGTTGTCAAACAAATTCTACTAACAGTCTCTTTAATCTCAAACTTCAGTTTTTTCTTCTCAGCAAAATACAACTTATAACAATCATCAGCTACAGTCTCTCTACTCTTTGGCACATACAATAGTTGCAATTTTTGCAGAAAATACCTAAACCCTTTTTTCTGAACAACAATAAAAGGAAGCTCATCAATTATGATCATACAGAGAAGTGCCTTAGTAATTTCCTCTTCATTATACTTCCAAGTACTTACAATTGCTGGTTTTCATTCGCTACCCTCAACGATCAATTTACTTTGACCAGGATCATGACTAAGAGCCAAGTATTTCTTACAGTTTGCTAAGTGGCCATGAAGACTACTTGTTCCGTGTTTTCTACTTTCAGCCCTAAACTTATTGCCACAGTATTTACAAGCAGCCCACAGATCACCTTTCACATCAGTAAAAGTAGAAAAAATGGGGCCATACCATAGACCTTTTACGAGTGACACTGCGTTGCTTTGGAAGTGGAGGTTTTGGAACATCAGCTGCTTGACATTCACCTACTTCCCTTTCCCCCATTTCAATCTGCACATCGATCATCAGTGCATCATCATTCAGTGATTCCAGCAGAGGGGGAGGCACTGAACCTTTATCAACCTCAACCTCAAACTCCTCAAGATTATCATCAACCAGAGACATCTAAACCAAAAAAAGAAAATCAGTTTACAGTTGATGTAAGTCTGTAATAGTCCTGCAAACAACTACAATCTACAAAAATTTCACAAGTAAAGCAAACATGCAGTTGCAGTAGAAAACTCAAAACTGGATAGCAACTTAGAACCCTGCAAACAACTACAAAGATCTCTGTTTATGTATTAAAAATGGACCACAAAATCCAGTCACAAGATTCAGCATAATCCGAAAATATGGTTGTAATTACAAGAGCAAATTACATTGCTTCTTAATTCAACATTACACATCATCATCATCAGTCCATATCTTGAAGTTTATTAACAAGTAACCACACAAGCAACGAACTTTCTACACCATTTTAATTCAACAAGACAGGAAACTAAACAAAACGTCAATAATAAAACATTTGAAATCTTACAGAACTACTTCTAGGAGAACCAACATCAACATTCAACACGATCATTCAATACAACACCACAGAAGATCTCCATTCATTCATTCAACACAACATCAACATACAGGCTCACACAACTACACTGTCAACAGAACTATTATTAACTAAATAAAGAAAAAAAAAAAAAGATATACCTTATGCTCTGTGGACTGATGAAGGTCTGCTAATGAAGCCCGAAACTTAACAGAATCAGCTCTTGGACGAATAGCAGCAATCTGAGACGAACATCAACAAAACGAGACGAAGCAGCTAACCCTAATCTCAAATCTCAAATTTCTCCTTTGGTTTGGTTCTAAAGTTGTAAAATTCGATGCCTCAACTAAACCCCAAGTCCCCAATCTCAAGCACTAATTTCAAAACCCCATTAACCCTAATCGATGGTCCAGATATGAAAAACCCTAAGTGGAAACCTTTTTTTTTTGGAGAAAATGACAGATTGAGAATGATTGATAGAGGGATCGACGGATTACAGAGGTGGAAAGGTGGGATTTAAGTCTGGAATGGCAGTCGGCGGCAACTGTTGACCGTCGCCGTCGAGATTGGAAGTTGGAACTGGAGAGTGAAGAGAGGAAGAGAGAGAAAGAGAAAGGAGGAAGAGAGAGAAAATTGGGAGAGGAAATGAGGTAGAAACCCTAATCTCAATCATATATATATGGGTATAAAAAATTAATAAAAAATCAATTTTTTGAGTGGGGCCCGAACAATTTTTTGTTCACCTGACCCCGCACCGATTAACTTATCGGTTGTTCGATTAAGGCCGAATTCCCCCGACTTGACCCGATCAGCGAACCGAACGCCCCATTTTCCATTCGGTCCGGGCAAGTGGTCGGGTTGACCCAACTACTCGACAGTCCTACTCAAATAGTGATGTACGTTGGGTGGATTTTATTTAAAAAAAATAAAAATTCAATGAAATGTAATCTTTGATAGTCGCTCAGAGAAGTGAACCATTATGAATCTATACGATTACTACAGACATGTATGTGAATTGGGCAAAAACATTCGTACTTCATTTTATTATGAATGACGAGTCATAAATTAACCCTAGGCCTAAATAGGCCTAGGAGTAGGTTACTTGGAGATTAAGCCACCACCTAAACCTATTCCGCTAGGGTTTCAGGAAACAGGTAACACCACCTCTATATAAAGAGGTTGTGCCTCTCTCATAATTGACATCTTCTACAACTTCTACACACGATACACATACTTCTCTTTCTACTCTCTATATTCCTTTATTGAGTTAAGCATCGGAGAGTCTGCCATCGGGAGATACTCGAGACTCTGTCTTGCAGGTTTTAGGCCGTCCACCGCCACCCAGATCATCATCGTCGCCCGTCCAAAGGCACCGTGCAGATCCATGCTTCGTCAAGTGACTACGCCCAGTGGAACCGATTTGTTTGGTCCTTACAACCAAATAAATTTCTTGAAACGAAACTGATATTTATTGGTGCTTTACATCATCGAGTTGATTTGATGTGCAAATCCATGTACGCGAAAGCCAAAATCAAGAATTTAAAAATTTCCATACTGACAACCGTCGACTTCCGCGTTGACGTCCTTCGATCGAGGATTCGATCAACGACAGTTCTGTCAACGTTTTTGTCGAGTTGCTCCAGCCGACGAAGAAGCTGACAAAGACGTTGCTGACTTCCATGCTGACCTAAACAAACCGACGAACAAGCCGACAAGAGATAAACTCTCAAGTCCTTCGAAGCAAGGAGCAATTTCGAGGATTAAAGTTTTGAGAGATACATCTCCTCGAAGGGGTAAGCTCCCTCGAGCACCATACTACTACTCGAAGTTTTCGAGAAGATGTATCTCGACTTTCATCTACTCAATTATTACCTTCTCGGTATCGAGGTAACACCTTCTAGAATAATTAATTTATCTCGAGACTGAGGTATTTCTCAAACCTTTTCATTATATGCTTCTAGAATCTAAATTCATATACTACTAATATCATTATTCTCCTCACAAACATATAATTATACTGTATTGCCTTTTTGAGTAGAATTGCGTATCAACAAAAGACCTGCTAGACGGTCACTGGGTTTAAATAAGACCTGCTTGATGGGCACGACTCACAAAGACCCGCTAGACGGGCAATGGCCAAATAAGACCTACTGCATGGACACAACCACAAGACCTGCACGATAGACAAATATAGACTTCTCACCTTCAAATAAGAGAGTACATGCTTCTCACCTTCAAATAAGAGAATTTAGGCGCCATCCTCCTAATTCGGCATACACATCCTTCCCCCTTCTAATCAGGAACTCACTAATACAAAGACCTCCTTGAGGCAGTTTATATTTCTTTATCTTCTATAGGTAACACCCGAGAATGAAAGAGTTCGAGAACTGGGGCAACACCACAAAACTCGATGAGACATCAACACTCGTAGCAACCCATATTCTTCTCATCAAGTCTCGAGAATATAGCTTGCTAGGGGCACTTGACGAGTCATAAATTAAATAGGCATAGGATTAGGTTACTTGGAGATTAAGCCACCACCTAAACCTATTCCGCTAGGGTTTCAGGAAACAGGTAATACAACCTCTATATAAAGAGGTGGTGCCTTTCTCATAATTGACAGCTTCTACATATCTTCTATAACTTCTACATACGATACACATACTTCTCTCTCTACTCTCTTTGTTCTTTTATTGACTTAAGTATCGGAGAGTCTACCCTCGGGAGACACCCGAGGCTCTATCTAGCAGGTTTTAGGTCGTCTGCCGCCGCCTAGATCATCATCGTTGCCCGTCCTAAGACACCGTGCAAATCCATACTTCGTCAATGAATGTTTTGGAAGTAACCATTCCAGATCATTATGGGAGATGGAAACGTGATTTTATAATTAGTATTGGATTTATACGATAACTTGAGTTCGAGTCTGTATCCAGTATACTCGGGAGGATGTACACCCCCTCCTATTTTTTGCACTACTAGTCCTTATTGTACTTTATTATCAACTCTTCCTATATTTTGTAAATTTAGTCCCTGTTATTTTTTTCTCTCTCCTCTACAAAAACATCTCTAATCTTTAAATGACCATATTTCATGATCTGTGAAGAATTTGAGAACGAATTATATATGAATTTTATAGTACTCGACGAGATATATCCATCAAGATCCATATTGAATATTTTTTCCCAACTTAAAAATGATTAAATTTCGGTATGCAGAAATAAAGTGGATATTTAGTTTAAGAAAATGGATAACCAATTTATTTTAGATTAATGTTGTTTTTACTTATATCTCTCGATTCGTGAATAATTAACGAATAAATTACATATGCAATTTATAGTAATCGATGAGATCTATCCGATATGATCAATGTTGAGTATTTTTTTGAACTTTAAATGCATTTAAATTTTACAGGCAGAAATGAAAAAATAAATATTTTTTTCCTGAAAAATGGTTATCCGTTGTATTCATACTGATTATCCAACCGATTTGAACTGATTATCCATTTTGTTTGTACTATTTATCCAATCATATTTTTTACATTCCCTCCTCTTCAAAAAGAAAAAGAATAAAAATATTTGGATAAACATTACAAACAATTTGGATAAGCAGTGAAAATAATTGGATAAGCAGTACAAACTGATTGGTTAATTAGTACAAACAAATTGAATAATCATTTTCATAAAATAGCAAAGAAAAAAAAGGTCGGGTAACCATCACCGAGAAGTTGGATAACCATTATGAACATATTGGACAGATATTTACTCAAAAGAAAAAAAAAAGACATTATGTTTGGATAATCAATGAAAATGATCGGATAACCAATGCAAAACGGTTGGATAGTCAGTACAAAAAATTGGACAAGAATTTTCGCAAAGAGTGGATAAAAAAAATGGTTGGATAAGCTATACCAAGTAGTTGGATAATCAATACGAACGCGTTGAACAACCATTTCTTTTCAAAAAAAAAAAATGGAAAACTAGGTTGGATAAGCAGGACTAATAATTAGATAATCAATATTAACATATTAGGCAACGATTTTCTAAAAGAAAAAAAAAAGATTGGATAACCAGTACAAACGAAATGGACAATCAGATCAAACCGGTCGGATAATCAGTATGAACACAACAGATAACCATTTTAAGAAAAAAGTTAGGTTGGATAAGTAGTACCAGTTAGTTGGATAACGAGTACAAACACATCGGACAAGTATTTTCATAAAAATTGAAAAAAAAAAGCTGGAGAAACAATAGTATGGGGTTAGATAATCAATACGAACACATTAATCGGACGAGTATTTTTTCCAAAAGAAAAAAAAATGACTGGACAAGTATTACAAACTTATTTGGACAAGCAGTAAAAATAATTGGATAACCAATAGAAAGCGATTGATAATCACTACAGACACATTGGATAACCATGTTTCAAAGAAAATAAATGATTGGATAAGCAGCATAAACAAAATGGATAACCAGTATTAGCATATTGAACAATGATTTTTTCCAAACAAAAAAAAAATGATTGGATAACCAGTACAAATAATTTGGATAAGCATATAAATCCGTTGGATAACCAGTACGCATAAGTTGGATAGACACACAAACCAAACGGATGGATATCCAGTACAAACAAGTTAATTGGATATCTAGTACAAACAAGCCAAATGGATAATCATATAAATCCGTTGGATAACCAGTATACATAAGTTTGATAGGCATAAAAGCCAAATGAATAAATAGTACAAACAAAATGGATAACCAGTTCACACTGGTTGGATAATCAGCATAAACACAATGGATAACCAATTTAAAGTAAGTTGGTTATCTATCATTTTAAACTGGATATCCATCCACCCTATTTCTGCCCATCGAAATTTAGTCATTTTTAAGTTCAGAAAAAATATTCGATATAGATCTTGTTGTTTAGATCTCAATGAGAACAATAAATTTTGTATGTAAAATATTTTTTAATTCTTCACGGACTGAGAGATATGCTTATTTAAAGATTAGAGATATTTTTTAGAAGAGAGAGAAAAAAGTGTCAGGGACTAAACTTGTAAAATATAAAAATATTGAGAAAAAGTATAATAAGAACTATAAATGCATAAAATAGGAGGGAGAATATAGTGCTTCCAGACTGGATAAATTGCCTTGAGTTCAGTTATGAGTCTTATTTCAAAGAGCTCAAGACTTTGAAAATTAGAAAGGTAATTGTTGAAATTGAATCAATTGATAATGCAAGACATTGGCTTCATAGCCATTCACGAATTATACAGACATACATGAGAATTGGGCAAAAGATTCATAATAAACAAGGGTGGAAAAGTTGGTTAGAGAATTAAGGCTTGAGATTGTTTTTATTTGATTCTCGGCCATTCAATTAAATAGAAAAACATTGATAATGAAAAAAAAAGAAAAAAGAAGAGAAAAACTAACCGAAAGAAAAAAGAAAAAAAAAAAAGGGCTAGGCGTGCAACGCATTGTATAAGCTATTATTTTCTATAGAAAAGTAACCTAAACCACATAAAATAAAAATGATAAAACAATGAATCCAGAATTACTTCAAATATTCAGATCAGGAATCTCATAATAGTAATGCTCAAAACAACAAATTGAAATTCTGTTTGGAACTCTTAAAACTAAAAATAATTTCAGACGGGTTTAGTCAGAGCAAGTGCAAAGGTACCGGTACGATCACGGAAACTATCCTGTGATGTCCTGCTACGAATGGCTTCAGGGGCAAGGACAGAGTGGTGGAAAATAAAGCTAGTTCGGGTCGATACAATATCCCAAAAAAACAGCTTCATAACTTGGCTTGAATGGAAGGGCAGATTGACAAATCAGTGACCCTGGATAGGATGGATAAACTAGCACGTATTGCCCGTTCCGGTAGCTCTGTGGCACTAGAGAGAAAAGTGCTCAAATCTGTGCTTCAACTGTTGCATACCACAGAATTGATGATTGGAACAAATGTCAGGATCCGCAGTTTTAAAGACTTGTCTTGCACCTACCAAATCAAGCAAACCCGGACTTGGTTCGTTCCATCAGCAAGAACAATCATTGCTTGGAACATGAATAAACCCAAACAAAAGCTCATGACATCCATGCTTACTCACGGTCAATGATTAGATGGTTAAGTCTTCTCAATATCACTTCCTTATAGAAGTTTCTTGTCCGGAAGTACAATCCTAAGGCAACAAGAGATCCGAAGAGAGTCGTGCCTGCCATAATAAGAAATGATAACCCGAAACAACGGGTCCCAAAGCAAGTATTGTCAGTTCCTGTTTCTTCTCTGTCATAGAGATAACCAACTACTCTAACTGACAAGATGTAAGTCCCCACAGGATTAGCAATTGTTATAGTATTAAATATCGCCCCCATATGCTCTGAACCAAAAATCTCTGCAACAATGGTAGGCATCAGTGACCATTGCGATCCATAACCAATGCCCACCAAAACAGAACCAGCGTATAAAGCTCCGGGAAAACCAGAAGCAATCATAATATGACCAATGGTCATAGCTACTAGATTAATGACCATAAATAATGGTCTAGGCCAACTTTTTGCATGTAAGAAGTAATCCGACACATAACCTGACCCAAAACGACCGCCAAAGTTCCAGATGCTCCAAAGCGAAACCAAAGTACTTGTTTGTACACTTGAGTAGCCAAGAGACAGTCCTATCTGGCTGATGTTATTCACAGTAGCTAGTCCTGATCCCATACCACATGCTGATGTAAGAAATAATAACCAGAAATTAATATTGCACAGTGATTGCAAGAGATTCAGGTTATCTCCTTGCTCGGCAATCATGCTCCCATTTATTGCATTCATCTCTTCATCAGCGTTGCCAGGAAGTTGTTGATAAGCTTCAGGATCTGGTCTGGACTGAACCATACCAAAAATTTGGTTCTCCTCAAGCAAGGATCTTAAGATCCTGTTGGACTTCTGCTTTTGGGCTCTAATTGCAACGTGCAGAAATGACAACAGCAGTAGAATCAGTATAACAAATGTCGAAACACGTGCTGAAGATGGAAATGTGATCACATTCCGAAGGATAATTACTACCATGAGGTATGCAGCTAGAAGTACCGCAACAGATGACAAAACCCCAAGGTATTTATTTTCATCTGCTTCGGTAGTTGGCATAATTCTGACAAACCACATAAACACAAGAGAATTTACAGATGGCAAAAGTGCCAACAAAAGGATAAACGCAGTAGGCTTCTTGTTAAGAACTGTCTGATATACCAGAATCAGGATTGCCCCACTCAACCCCAGAAAACCCTGCAAGAATCATAGATCAAAGTTAAATATTACAGTTACAAGCAGAAAATAATAAACAATAAGAGAACAGTTCGAGCATGATCTCATCTAAACAAAATGTTTCATCAGCTTGGAATTAAAAGAGCTATACTGTTTATCCCTCAAAATATGTTAGAAAAAAGCCAAAAAGACTAGGAAGTCGGTGCAGTACAGCTTATTTTAAATGATCAAGAAAAGAAAAGAAAGAAAAGGGTTCTACATGAAGAAGGGAAAGGACTCAAATACCTTCGATCAGCAAACTAAATTTACAATCAGCCTATTGCTGAATTAAAATTAACAAATAAATGACTGTCCTCCAAATTGTTTGCACAACTGACTAAAAAAAGAAAGATTTGTTGAGACAATAGATCTTCTATTAGTTCCAAATAAGCTAATTATAGGTTGCTTCCCTTCTCATTCTTAAGAACATCAATTACTTAAAGAGTAACAAACAGAGACCTTCCTGTAAAAATACCATTATGACTGGGCAGAACAGGTTAGTTCTAAAGCCTCAGTAGTATAAGCACTACTCAGCAAGTAAGCATTAATATTTACGTCCATACTACGGCAGTAAAGTATACGCATTCGTTAGAATAATAAAGCCAGATTTCATTACACGATATAAAGAAGAATGTCATATGCACTCGAAGTTCTTGACAAAGTACTGCCACAAAAGTCAGGGAACTGCTGCTAATAAGCCATGCACTCCAAGGTTTAATAAAATATCTATCAAGAGCAGTATTTTAATTTCTTTCTGAAACAGTTTCAGTACAATAAAAAGTCTCAACGACTGGTCAAGTATCTTCCTTGTGCATTAGGAATATATTCCAAATAAATTCCAAATTCTCCCATCCCCTCATGTATCCAACATCTCTCCAAGCTTAACCAAAAATTCTAGGTCTGGGAAACTAGGAAACCTTTCTTTTAAGCATATCAAAATCAAAATCGAATAATACAGCAGATGGTATGCCAGAGCATCTAGTAGCTACTGACAAAAGGGAATTTCAGGTCCCACGTGCGAAGTCTACAAAATCATATTGTCATGAACAGTACTATACTTGTCTTTCATTTATACCGATACCGGACTACAAAAATTCATGAAATTAAGTGGCGAGAGCAATGATAATGCTGATACTAGTTACACTCACGAATATCTCCTTTCTAGCCTCAGTTTCACATCTAAAGAATAAGCCTCGTTATAACTCTTTCTTTCCTTGATTCAGTGGATCGGTTCTTAGTCATATCCAAGAATATATACTGACAAAGCTCGAGTTAAATAATCCACCGCGATTTATTAAGCTGACTCTGGATTCCACAAGGATTTGAAGTACTTCAAAAACCTAGGACTCACTATCCTAATTCAAAACCTAAAACTTTACCAAAAAAAAAAAAGTTCCATTCCAACTACCTTTCTTTACAATATCATCATTAACAACATTATCCCTTCCAGTATGTTCGATGAATTCATTCATATTAAAATGTTGAAACAAACTAAACAGAGAGAGAGAGAGAAGGAATTGACCTTCATGATGCCAACAACTGTGCCACTATACTTGGGGAAGTTATGAACAGCAGTCACCACATTCGCCGTGTTGAAAAACGTCGTCGCATTTGAAGCCAAAAGCATATAAAATCCCATAAGCAACACCGGCGGCCTCGGTAGGATCCCGGCAACACTTAACCACATGAAGAAGTATCCCAAAAAGACAACCACCGCCCCTCCAAGCAAAACCACCCATGGCCCGCCGCCGAATCTGGTGGTGGGCCGACCCCGATTAGAAGTGACGGCGGAGTAAAGCAGGCCGGCGAGGACGCCGACGTTTGCACCCAAGTCTTTGAAGACCGAAATCGTGTCAAGCGTCGATTGGTCATATCCCTGGCTGGTTTTGAGGGCTTGAGAGTAAATACCAAAAGTGTAGGCAGAGCCACTGGTGGATTGAATCCAGATACTGCATACTGTTGAAACCCATTTGTTGTTTATCAAGGATCTGTAACTCGGGTTGTAATCTGGGTCCATTTCTGGGGATTTTAATTAATGCTAGACTTTATGGGACTAAATTACCGTCCAATTTTTTTGCACTGGGATCATTTGAATTTCGTTTTTCCTCTGTTCATGAATTAAATTGAGGATAAAAATTACAAATAAGACTGATCCAAATCATCATCAAATCAAATGAATTTTCGTGCAGTTGGCATTGTTAATGATTCAGCATTGGAGTCTGAGTACGTGTCAGAGTGTATCTATCAAAGCTGACATCGTTGTCATCTCGATGCAACTGGCTCATGCCTCCACGTGTACAGAGTAGTATACATTTTCTTGAGTGTTATACTCAAGAAAAAACAAATTGAGAGAGGAAAAATATTTGAATTAGACTTTTTATTGGAAAAACTTGGAAAAAGAATTTATGTTCAAGGAAGACATTTCTCTCTTCTTTTTTTTTCCTTTTTTTTTTTTGCATGATGATGTGAAAAAAAAAATCAATTATTTATGAGTATTTATAAAATTTTCAGTTGAGAACTATTTATGGCAATTTGGTTTGATGGATTTCTAGGGTTATTAATTTTTTTTTTTTTAGAAATAGATATTTGATAGAATGAGTGGTGACTTATGGTAGTTCCAGTGATTTCATATTTTGTCCAAAAACCCTGAGAAACACTAATTGATGAGTGGAACAGAAGTGAGACTCTGCCAAGAATAAGAAAAAAGCTTAATAATGTACAATGAGAAAATGCCAAAAATTTAGTCCAAAAGTTAGAACTTGGATCAGTTTTTTCATGCGATTGGAGGACATTCGAGCAAGATATGCGCTCATTTTCATCCCAGAAAGCATTGAGAGTGACAGACTAGTGACTTTGCACAAGCACATTTAAAAAACTAAAACGTACTACTAAGTAAAAGATAAAAACCGATAGTCCAAAGTCGCCTATGTAAAGGCTCCTTCATTCTATTCTTGCAGCACATCATTTAGATTTGGCATATGTGCTATGGTTTATTATCTGCGGGAAATGCCAATTCATAGACAGGAGCTAATGATAGAGACAGCGATTTTATTGTGTATGCCAATGAACTGATCCAACAACAAGTCCATAAATTGGGACCAAAATATTGACTTGTAAGCTAAGGGTAACAACTGCAAAAACGTGGAAGATTGCTGAATCATATGCATTCATCAAACTCATAGAGATTTCAAACCCAATTTGGAGCTTGATCATCATATAATATGCGTATCAACTTTAAGTCTATGATTGTAACTTCCAAAATCTTCACAATTATATACGTAATACCTCAAAAAAGGAAAAACAAAGATTATCATACAACAAAGTTGAATAAATTGGAAAGAAAAACTGTGCAGAATGATTAAAAATTTATAACTGTGCAGAATGATTGAAACTCAGCTACTCTGAAAAAAGCCGAGGACAGCCGATTCAGTGGCCAGATTGAAGCTTGCAGTACCATTAGCTGCTTAGAGCTGATCAGCTGAAAGTACTTGTAACAAACCATGATGAGAAGACTGAAAAGAAGTATCGGTTTTCATGGGGATGCAGTGTGCCTTAACCATCTCAAAAGAAGCTGAGAATAAAACCTTCTTGTCCTGAAGAAAAGTGCCAGAGCAACTAGAAATCCTAGCAAACTGACAGATGCCAAGATGAAGAATGACAACATGAAGCAGTACTTGCCGTAGCACAAATTACCATCGCCACCCGAAGATGCGTGTTTATCATAAATATAGCCGATAACTCTTACAGAAAGAATGTAGGATCCAATAGGACTAGCCACGGCGATGGTGTTGAATATCGTGCCCATATGCCTCAAACCAAATATCTCTGAAGTTATTGTAGGCATCAAGGACCACTGTGAACCATAACACACTCCGACAATCACAGAGCCGATGTATAAATTACCTGAAAAACCAGAGGCTATGATAACGTGTCCAGCAGTCATGGCTGCGAGAGTAAGTGCCATAAGCAAAGGTCTTCCCCAAGCTTTTCTATGTAGGAAAAGGTCTGATACGTATCCAGCCCCGAACCGGCCTAGGAAATTCCAGATACTCCATAGGGAAACCAATGTACTTCGTTCAATTGATGTGTAACCCAAGGATTGTCCAATTTGGCTGATGTTATTTATCGTGGCGAGTCCTGATCCCATTCCACATAACATTGCAAGAGACAGCAACCAGAAGTTCAATGTACCCATTGCCTGAAGCAAATTCAACTGCTCTGCATCTTCTCTGGCTTCATCATCAATCAAGTCATCCGAGCTGGATTTAACTTGTTCTTCATTAATGTCATCATGAGATGTCACTCTTTCCTGCTTTGTTACCTCATTTTCGTCCATTAAAGGCGCTCGAGAGGACGAGCATTCTTCTAGATTAGTTAACTGCTCATCTTTAGCTCTAATAGCAACTTGAAGGGGTGAAGAAAGCAGAACAAGAAGAACAGAAAACGCGATGATTCTTGACCACAGTGGCAAACTGACTGTGTTCTCCAAGATAATTAGGATCATGAGATAACCAGCAATTAAGAGAGAAACTATGGAGAAACTGTTCAAGTGTTTTTCCTCATCTTTGGTGTATGCTGTATCAAATCTGACTAACCACATTACTGTCAGGGTAACCAGAGTTGGCAGCAATGCAAGTATCAATAAGAAAGTGCTGGGATGACCTTGAAATGAACTGTTGTAAAATTGTATCAGTACAGCACCACTCAAACCCAGAAATCCCTGGCAAATCACCAAATATTAGAGATGCCTAATGTAGATCAAAAAACCGATTACTTCCTTCCGTTCCAAAATGATTGTGATAGAGGAAGTACAATCTATAACATGCGAAACATCTGAAAAATACTTTATTCTAAAAGCTTAGAGCTGCTTCATTACAAAGATCCTACCTAGTGGATTGGAAAGTTCAGACAGTCAAGATTACACTTTTAGGGATGGACGGAGGGAACATGTTCTAGTGGTAAATGTGTTTTGTACTAGTGATAGAAACGGACACAAAATCAATCACATTAAATTTTTGTAGCTACTGATATTTTATTATTTCATTCATTATTGGTTGAGAATTTTATTTACAGGTTTGTTATCTTTGTATGGACCACTAATAATATTTCATTGAATTAACATTTCTCCTTTTCAATTCAGATGATAGGCTCAATGAGTCATTTACTTGTCATATGGGGCAAGATAACGGCAGGGATGCATTAGCTTGTAGGTGGATGCAAGCTAATATATGATATAGCAATCAATTTTTATTGTTTGGAGGATGAAAGCTAATACATATGCCAATTACTCCATCCATTCACAAATAGATGTCGTTGGAGGAAAAACTAAATATTCTAAAATAGATGTCGTTCTCACAAATCGAGGCATGTTTTGTCAATTTCTTTCAATAATACCCTTAGATTGGTAATTGTTATGATGTTTAATGTAGAATTGTATTAGAACTTAAATGTTATTAGGACTACAGTTGTATTAAAAGTAAATAAGGTATTATAGTATTTTAACAAGATAATTACTGTCTCCTTAAACTTTGTGAAATTTCTCCAGCAATCTATTTGTGAACGGAAGGAGTAATTTTTATTGTTTGGAGGAATCAAGAACTTATCGAAGGGAAAGTGGTAATTCTTGTCTTAAAAATAATTCACTTTGTTATACTATTTTATTTCACAAAATGGAGTACTCCCTCTGTCCCAAAATTATTGTCCAGTTTGAGATTTTATTTTTAGTATAATTTGAACTAGAAATGAAAACTCAAACTGGACAATAATTATGGGACAGAGAGAGTATCATTTTTTAAAATTTTAGATTAGCTTATGAAATTATAATTTTTTGAAATGATGCTCATCATTGTTGAAAGCAGCCTGTAAGAAATAAATTCGGATAAGGGCTGGCTAAACATAAAAAGACCATTGACCAAATTAAGAAAGTAATGTCTTCAACGTTTATATATACTACTATAAATTGATACACCTATATCTAAAGGAAAATTCGTGCCAAACCAAATGCCACCTATTCTGTAAGGTCGAAAATCGTTTCTACCCGAAGTTATAGGTTTATGGGTATGACTAAAAAAATAAATGAAATTAATACCTGTCAATATGCTTTCTTTAGTACTACATTTTATTCGAGAAATTCTTCCTTGTAATTATTACATATTTATTCATGAAAACAAAATAAAGTAAAATGATTCATTTGTATTCCATAGAATTCATGTTGTCGTCTTGCTAACATTACATAAGCAGCCTTTTCTTTAAATATTTTTCGTGAAATTGTTTAATCACATTTGCTATAAATTCTTGTCTAAAATTTAAAATAATTACTATTTCAGAGACAATACAAAACTTATGTTTCCTTTATTGAAAAAAAAAAAAAGAGATCTTGAAGATTTTTCTTTTGAATTTGTTAAGAAACAAAGGAAAAAAAAAGTTATGATTTGCAATAGAGTGGGAAAAAAATGTGGGTTCAGGCAATTATTTCAGAAAGTGATGTAAACAATACTTTGGGAGTTAACATTTCAGAGAAAATTTCAAGAAAATTATTCTAAAATGTAATGCATTTCGCAAAAAGTATGATGGAAACTCCTTAAACACACAAGTGAAAAGACTGACAAATATCTTTCCAACTGATCCCGAAGTGACTAAAGATGACTAAGAGTAAAAACTGAAAATGTGATTCGACCGTAATTATAAATTATTGGAAAGAACAACAACCACAATAATGGTATCATAAATCTTTTTCTCAAAAAAAAAAAAAAAGAGATCTTATTCATTGCGTATAATTCCGATTGATAAAGAAGACTCTAATTTTGACGTCAATGGGCATATTAGAATATACAAATGCTTTATCTTACAACGAAAGTGAGTATATCCTAACTAAACTAAGAAAATGATGGCAAACCAATCGTGTACGTAATGTTTCCACATATCATCTACAAGACTACCTCTCAAACAAATGCTACTCCCTCTGTCCCAAAATTATTGTCCAGTTTAAGATTTCACTTTTAATACAATTTGAACTAAAAATGAAAATCCAAACTGGACAATAATTATGGGACGGAGGGAGTAATATTTTTCTTCCCCCAAAAATAATACTCTTTTCTAAAATAATTGTTCATTAAAATTTTCATTTTTTATTTTTAGTTTAAAATTGTATTATATGTGAAAGTCTAAATTGGACGATAATTTTGGAACAGAGGAACTACTATTTTTTTTTTTTTTGTTTTCTATCTCATGTCATTTTAAGGGCTACATCAATCTTATAAATTCTCTATTATGGCTTAATTTTGGTTACATACACAACGTTCTAAACTGCATAGTTCGGGTTCTAGTTATAAGCTAGAAATTGTAATTGGTGCAAATACATTTTCTTGGATTTCATAAGTAAACCAAAAATTTTCAAAAAAAAATCTATTTTGATGAATTAAAACAACACAATAAGCGTAACTCGAAAGGACTGGAGGAGTATTTTTCTTTTAGGAAATCGACTAAATTTCTCAAGCTGATTTGAAGGTTTTGGATAATCATACAAGCAAGTACGTACCATAATCAATGTTTGTTTTATTTATTTATTTATTCTTTTGGGTTCTTTCTTTTGTTTTGTTCTTCTTCTTCTTTCCTCTTTTGAAATACTTCAACAACAAATGTTGATAAGAACAACAAAATGGATGAGAATCCACAAGTTCGCCTAATCCGACAAATTTGGAAAGTTCTTCTACTATATTGCTGGTAGTTGTAGGAGTCTGACCACCCGCGAAGAATTAAGAAATATTTTTTTTTTTAATGTGTTTTCGGCGCCCTCATGTTATCTTTTTTTTGTATCATTATACCATTAATCATGCTTACAAAATCATATCACTAATCTCAAAATGTCATTATCATGATTGAGGATTAACAAATCAAAGACTTATCCTATTACAAAGTGGATATTTCACTTTTATCATTTTTCACTTGTGCACATAGGATTCTGGATTCGGACACAGAATTTAGATAAAAATTTAAATTTAGGAATGGTTGTTTGACTTGAATTTCTAATATCAATACATATTGTACGTGTAGTGAAAAGTTAAATAAAGAAATCATTTTTTTGAAAAAACAAACGCGAGTGTGTGTTTTTTCTCTAGAGCAGTTAGAGTTCAAAAAGTCTCTCTTTCTTTGAGAGTTTTCTTAGAGTAACTAATTTGAGGAAATCTCTTAGTTTTTAAGTGTAATTATCTAGTATTTTTTTATTGTGATCTTCTTATTCTCGTTTAAATTTTTTATTTCTTTGTACATCTCTTTTCAAGTTTCATCTTTTTTTATAAAAACAATGTTTTCTCTTTCCATCTTTGTGTTTTTCTTTTTTAGGTTTTTCTTCGATGGGATTTTTTCAATGTTTATAGGATTTTCTCCTCCTTAATTAGTAATTTGTTCACTCGGTTTGCTATTTGTTTTAGGTTTCTTAAGAATCTTAATTGTGTTGTTAACTTTATCTTCAAAAAAAAACGAAAAAAAAAAACAAGTATTGTTTGTTATTCTCTTCTTAGAATTGTTACCATCTGTAGTTGTATTATGTTTATAGTTCTTTTTTAACTTCTTACTGCCATCCCATCCTCTGTCATATTTTCTCTGTCGATGCAGTTACTTTCCTTCATTTGATGGTGGCTTTGTTTTTCTTCTGACGGTTATTTCTTTATCTTATTCTTTTCATAACCGTAAAATTTCCATTTGTCATCTAAAAATTTCTATGGAAGAAAACCTTATAAGATTACACTTTATGCTTCCTCCTTTCATGATTGAGAAGTCGACAGGTGAATATTCATACTCTTTTGTTTTCAATATGGTTGAGAAACGGGTTATTATGCATGAAGATATCACTAGGATTTGGATTTCCTCTAACATACTTCAAAAGGCGATGATGTTTTCAAAGAACTGCCAAGTGCAAATTGAATCTTTCTGGAAAATTTCTCATAATCTCAAGGGTGTCATAGAGGTAGCTGATGTGACGACTCTTAAAAAGCCATATTTGAGTAAGCTTGTTTGGGCTCCTAAATATAATTTTCTATATGATGCTACTCCAAAATACTTATTTTGTGAAGAAAGATTATGTGTAGTTCGAGTTTCAGGTAAATTGTTTTGCACTTTCACTGTTGAAATGTTCCTTTATGTCATTACATTAGCCTGTTGCTTTTTGATATGTTTTGGATCACGATGATCAATGAAGGCTGTTACAAAATTATCAAGTGGAATTGGATCATTATGACCAACGAAGGATGTTGCAAAATTATTAAGTGGAAAATGTTAAAACTTGTTGTGTATTGGCATTTATTCCTTGTTTTATCCTCTGTTAAATTCGTCGTGATAATATGTGTAGCACATGAATTGTGGTTTCATCCACTATCACTATATAATCACTTGATATCAATGATACCAAGTTCTTTGTATCATTCAGTTGGTTGATTTCCAATAAGTTTAATGTATATTTGTTTAAAAAAAAAAATCATTTTTGAGAGCATTTTTCAGAAAATTGATAATAAAATGGGGGAAGTCACCTATTTGATGCACTAAAGAAACACACACAGCTGCTGCGCCCAATTAATATGCCCTCCGTCCTAAAATTATTATTCAGTTTTAATTTTTATTTTGTAGTTCAATTTCTACTAAAACTAAAAATTTGAGCCGAACAATAATTTCGAGACGGATATAATATTTTCTTTCTTCCATGTTTTTGTTATTGAATCATGAGAAAATTCATAATTATGATGACATATAATATACATTGAAATTTAATGAAACACCAAAATTTACTCTATTTTTCCTAGTAATTACTTACCTACTACTGTCAAATATAGAAATGCTACGTTTTAACAGTCAGCAAAGTTTAAACTCCTAAAATAGACGAGCAGTCAAGATATTTTTTCCGTCTTAAAGTATTAATCTTTCATAAAAAAGAAAGTAAATATTTTACTTCACATCTCTTTTTAACCATGCAAATGGGTAAAAAAAAAATTTTAAAAAAAAACTAAAATCAGACAGGAGCAGAGAAAATGACGTACCTTCATGATGCCAACAATTGTGCCGCTATAATCCCGGAAATTATGCACCGCCGTTACAACGTTGGCGGTGTTGAAGAAAGTCTGGGCATGAGCGCCCAAGAACATAAACAAGCACATCATTCCGACCGGCGGCCGGTCAATAATTCCGGTCACCGAAACCCACATCATGAAATACCCCACGAAGCATTGGATTGTTCCGACCAAATGAACCACCCACGGCTGCCGGAACCACCGGTAGTGGCTGCGGGCCGTCGTCGTCGTTTTGGATACGACGGCGGAGTAAAGCATGCCGGAAATGATCCCGGCGTTGGCTCCGATGTCCTTGAAGACGGAGACGGTGTCTAATGTGGCTTGGTCGTAGCCTTGGCTTGATTTTAGGATTGGCGAGTATATTCCGAAGGCGTACGATGCGCCGCAGCTGCACTGGATCCATATGCTTGCTATTGCCGCCATCCATTTGTTGCCGGCGACGTCGCTGAGGCGGCAGCGGCGGTTGTGGTGGTGGGCATCCATCGGGGCCCCTGTCTCTCTGGAAGTGTTGTGTTTTTTTGGGGCCAAATGATTTTAATGATATTTGAATGGTGAGCGTGATAAGTTATACTATGAGGTCCTTCGGCAAAAATTTATTAATTAATTGGTTATACCGGAGAATTGGAGAAATAACAAAAAAAAAAAAAAGAAGAATTTTTGGATTATACCGAAAGTACATATACTGCAGATATATTAAAGGTAACTTGTGATTTGAACTGGATATATTTATATTTAATCCATGATATTTGATGAAAGTGACGCATTTAGTTGACATTTCTGGAAAGAAAAAAAGCCATGTCGTAGATAATACTTTTTCCGTCCCCCAAAAAATAGTCCATATTGAGTTTTGAGTTTTAATTATTTTTAATATAAATTTGAAAATTCAATGTAGACTATTTTTTTTGAACGAATGTAACTATCGTTGTTACTAATATATTTGAGTTAAAGTTACAACGAGATTATCTTTTCATTAACTTTTGTTCAAATCTATGCATGAACAAATGGTTCTTGTTAGAACTTTCACCTTGAGAGATTAATCCATGATCTTGGTTAAAATAAGTTGATTGTTTAAAATTAAATCTTGATTTCTCAACTCATGTGACCACTAATCAAATGTAATAAATTCACAAACTTTAGGGACTTGCATCGGTTTAACTCTATGTAATATTTTCTACAACTTGTTTTTATAACCTCCATCATTTTCTTTTCGTTCTATTTTCTGTTTTACTTCATTTATGATAAAAAATTTTCTCATAAAGTTTTTTGCATTACTCTACATTGCTTACTATTTTGTTCTTAATAAAATTTGAGAAGAGAAATCAATTTATTTATTTTTATTTCTTAACAAGAATTGTGGAAGAACAAAAAAAACTGTAGAGGTCAAATCTCATGTATACTTGTACAGCATACATGTGTGTATATATATTGGTTTAGTTCTGTTCGAGTATCTAAGGATATGTCATTAATTTTTTCTTTTTATGAAAAAGTAAAGACATAATGAAATTGTTTGGAATTTTAGATGATTTTTTTTGAAACTTTTATTTTTGTATTTAAAATTTGAAAACATCTAAATATACATACATTTAATTGCCCTGTAATAATTATACTCCCTCCATCCCATAATTATTATCTAGTTTGAGTTTTAATTTTTAGTTCTAATTGTACTAAAAGTGAAATCTCAAACTGAACAATAATTTTGGGACAGAGAGAGTACTACTTAAAGGATTCCTTCAAACGCCTTCCCAAAAGAAAAAACAAATCTTTTTTCTTTGCGAAAAAATAAAAAATCAACTACGTTGACAACTTAGATAATATTTAACTTTTATTTTAAATAGAACCTTTTTTTTGGGACAATTTAATGTTAATTTTTATAATATATATTTAAGCCGAGCAACGCTCAGGATTAGTCCAGTCTTGAGAAAAATGAAAGAAGAAATAAGAAAATAAGAGGACGATCCAATCATTAAAGGGGATATTCAAAAAGAAAATACAACAAAAGCATAAGAGATAAAATTGATTAATGCGAGGATAAGGAAAAAAAAAGTTCATTATATTTCGCCCAGAGCATCATCAGTCACTCATTAATTTTTTTTGTCAAAAATCAAAATGTTGCCCTTTCTCAAAGAAAAAGTAAACAAATGAACGAAATGAAGAAAAAGATTTAGGTAAAAATTTTTTAACGAGGATGCTGATTTTCTTTTTCTTTGCTATCATTATTGTTATGATTTTTTTGGTTGGGGAAAATGTAAATGTAGATAGCAACTCGCATTTCTAGCTCAGCCACAATAGTGGTTCTTATATAACAAGTAAATAAAATTGAAGAAAATAAAACAAAAATAATAATCCGGCTCTTCGTATACTCAATGGGTCATTGTTTGTTGTTATATACAGCTTTAAATTGTTTTTTTGTGTGTTTTAAGATTTTATGTATACATGGTTTGAAATGTGTTTTGAAAAAAATGTAATCGATCAAAATATACTCCATTCGTCCCATAATTATTATCCAGTTTGAATTTTATTTGTGGTTTAAATTATACTATTAGTGAAATCACAAACTGCACAATAACTTTTGGACAGAAGGAGTACAATTTAATCTTACGACCAGAAAACACCACTGTTGATTGAACCCCAAGATTCCAACGTCCGGTTGAAAATTGAAACCCGCTTTGACTCAGAATTGATTGGACATCCTAAAATAGAATTTTGACTCTAGAAATTATTTCACATGACTTTTTTTTTTTTTACTCGATGAATATCGGTTCTTCCCTTTGAGGAAGTAACTTTTCCCTCAGGAGAGACTGACGAGTCCATATCCATTACCAACATTGGACCGGCCCATTAACCAAGTAGGAAGTCCAACCGACTCTGATAAGGCAGTTTAGGTAACACGAAACCTAGTAAATATCTCCCAGGTACTTTTATGCCTATAAATAGGGTTGATTACACCACAATACGGGTACACAATCTCTAGCTTAACATACTACACATTCAGACGTTCTTAAAACCCTTTATTGATTTAAGCATCGGAGTGTCTACCCTCGGGAAACCCCCGAGGCTTTATTTTGCAGGAAACTCTAGGCGGAGTTCCACTGTTAGATCCGCGGTGTAAAACCAAGCCTCGTCAAGTGGCACGCCCACTGGGACCCGAAAACTAGGGTTTGTGTCACGAAAACCTTCTCAGGTTTCCGTAACATCTTCCGTGAAATATAGGGTTGCAGGAACAATCAGCACGATGGTCAGAGTTGAAGAAAACACCAGCAGCACGGCATCTTCCAGCAGACGACATAGTCCGGGAGACAACACCACCGTAGCAGAATTCCAACGTAGACAAGAAAGGAAAAAGGCGGGGAGGAGCAATGACGGAGGACCTGAAAAAGAACCAACAAAAGAACGCTTGGTCCTTGGTTCTTCCTGGCCAGATCCGAAGGAACAGGATAAGGTCAATCATCCACCCAAAAAGGAGGATGAGCCTTCTCCTCGAAACACCCCTACTGCCAAGAAACGCTTGGAGGATCAAAAGCTGGCCAAGATCGAGGCAGAACTCAAGAAGCTAAGGGATGACAGCGATCAACAACAGAGGACGCGAAAATACGTCCTCGAGGAAACCAGGCGGTGCTGTCTCCTTGGAAAACCTGATCCTACGGAACAGGAGCTGAGTGATTTGATCGAAGAGAAAGAAGCTCGCCGAACCCTAGCCCTTCTCGAGAAGAAGCGGGGGAAGCGGAAGGTCCGAGAGAACGAGGATTACCAAGAAGTTGAGGGTTATGAAGGCCTCCATGAAGATTGCTCAACTGCCACTCGAGACACCGTATTCTGGAATGCTTTCAGGGAAAGATACCCGGCATTCGATACGGCCCTTGAAAAAGTTGACGCAACATACAGCGTAAAAGTGCTCGAGAAAATCATGGTTCCCCGAGTATCGAGGTCATTGAAGAAGGAGAATGGAATCCTCCAAGGCAAACTAACGTGCACGACTGGCTGGGACCTAATTGGAACCGAAGAAGTCCTCGAAGGGAAGAGTATAGACCTGGCTATGAACAATACCAAAGTAACAACAACGTCGAGCGCTATTATGACTGAGGACACCATCACCGTCCTCAGTACTCGCCTCCCAGACATCAGCAATATAACAAACATCGAGAAAATCCGCCATACCTCCATGGAGATCAACAGGGAATAAGAGATCAGAATGTCTTGATTCGAGAAGAGATGAGGAAGATCATTAGGAAAGGGGTAGATCGGAGTCCCTTTATCCCTGACATTCGAGATGAACCTAAGCCCCAAGACTTTGACTTTCCTAAGGAATTTAAACCATACTTAGGAGATTCAGATGTCTCTCAATGGTTGCAAGGGTATGTCCAGGTCATGAGAATTCGGAACGCAACTATAAATTTCATGGCCAAAGCCTTACCTTCTTACTTGGCTGAGTCAACACAGATGGTTTGGGCAATTGCCAGAAGCGAGTGTAATTAGTTTTGAGGATTTATCCGTCAAATAAGCTACTCGATTCTTTCAGAGTAAACGAATATCGCGAATGTCCATTGACCTCTCTTCAATCAGGCAAGGGCAACATGAGAGTCTCACCGACTTTCATAGGCAGTTCATACAAGAAACCTTGCAAGTCGACAACATTGATGATCGAGATGTTCGCAACGGGTTTATTCCAGGTCTTAATCCTTTTGGAAAATCCTCAATGTTGCAGGTCAAGCTCTCGACTAAGCCCCCTAAGAATGCTCAGGAGATGTGGGCCATTGTCGAGAATCATATACAACAAGAGCATACACTCAAGAAATCCCAGGAATCTTTTGCGTCGGTAGGACCAAGAGACAGATAGAAGGTTACCATGGAGAACAAACCCACGTTGCCCAAGATGGATAGCCAATTAACACCCCTAACCAAGCCGCGGTGAGAAATCTTCCAGATCCACAAAGACGAATTACCAGTCCCGAAACCTTTGGCGCCTAATCCAAATAGGTCAACGGAACAGTATTGTGAATATCACAAGGATCACGGCCATGACACGGAGGATTGTCGAGAACTCAAGAGGGAAATCGAGAATGGGGTTAAGTCTGGCAAATTTCAGCAGTACGTACAAGGATCTTCTCGACAAAAGAGCAACAAGCCCGGCCTATCACGAAGTTACCCCAAAAGGAACTTCAGAGGCCCCCCTCGAGGGGATAGTCGGGGAAACAATTGGCAACCGAGAGCCAACACCTGACAACAGCCTCAACAAATCGCTGAAGGAACACCGCAACCACTCTAGCAACTTCCCTCGGCAGATCCTACGAAGCAGATCACTCATCAGGTAGGGGCTATTTACGGAGCGCCCCTCGAGGTCTTGTCTACCACGGCTATGAAGAACTCGTTGCGAACCGTCACAAAGACCCCTCGACAGGAGCCTAGACACAAGAGGTTCAAGGGAACGGAGGCCATCATATTCACGGATAGCGATGTAGTCCTGGATATCTGCCCTCATAGCGATGCCATGGTTATCGAGGCAATAATTGCAAATGTAAAGTTCGGTAGAGTTTATGTGGATAATGGCAGCGCAGTCGACATCATATATAGCGATTGCTTCAAGAAGATGAATATCCAGAATCGTAACATCCGCCCAGCAACAAT